AGAGGAGGAAGAAACAATCTGATAAAACTAGATATCATGAAAGGTAGTGGTTATAACAAGAGGGCCAGAAACAACACTTAAGGCTTCAGATATTTACCTTTCAATGAAGAGTGTTAAAATAAACTGGAAATTTTAGTAGAAGAAGGAAAATATAATTTATAATTATATAAATTATATATAAATGTAATGTATTCTGAAACATCCCTGCAACACGTTGAGAAAGTAATCATGCCTGGAGTGTAACAATGGGAGTGTACGTTTTACTTGATTGAATCATATCTGATACAAGATAAGAGGAAGTAATCTTATGTCAAGAGGAGATGTACCCAAAGGAAGTGTTTAAACCTAATGGTGAAAAATGTCAAGCTTTTGGGTAATGAGAGGCAGAAATTCTGTCCTAATGGAAGGATTTTACAGTCTGTCCAACCAGGGAGAGGCAAGGGGACATGCTCGCTCCTTCAAAAAGGCATTACGCTCTCTCACTTTTGTATGTACCATCAAACCTTATAGAGTTCCTTTCAGATGATAATTGCTCAAAAATTGTAGTTTTGAATTGGCAAAGGAATGATAGGGTTTTGGCAAATATAATAACCAGATAAGGGAACTAGGATTTTTGAAGTTCAGAGAAAAAACAGGTTTGATTCTATGGCCAGAGCACAGCTCAGGAGACTCTGAAACTTCATTATTCTGACAATAAAATAATAAATCACCTCCATGTAAAAGGAAAGAATTAGATGGCTAATTAAGCCATTAAGTAGAAATGGCTCTCCAGTAGTAAACCAACTAATAAGTTCACATTGAAAAGGAATGTGATAAATGTCAAAAGACTAAAGTGACTCTGGGGAATATTTGTTCAGAATAAAGAACAGTAGGTCACTATTTCAACCTTTGTTTTGCTTCCGTGTTCTATGAAGAGCAGAGAACAAACATGGCTTCGGTGAGTTCAGGTTCCCAGTCTGACTCTGTATGCCAGGGGATCCAAGCCACACTGGTCTCGCACATAATGATGGAGCGTGGGAGCCAGAAAACATGGCCTTCCAGAGAAGGCCGGTGATTACTTGTCACAAACATTACAGCTTTTTATAAATCTGCCCCGCTCCCTGCCCCGGGACACACTTTTCATAGGTGCCTGATTTGAATTTGAGGCTGACTTTGAAAATATACTTTACCGCAATGTTTTTTACATCTTACGCATTTTGATATTAGCATTGTTTTTTCTTTCTTTCCTTGATGGTTGACAGTCATACCTTTTACTTCTTATTTGATTAAAATGTTATTGTTGATAGCATTTTTTACATTTTCAAGAGGTTGGGAACATTTCTTTCTTAAACTTTTGTAGTTAATTGTAGTTTGTACAGTGTCAAAAATGCAGTTTTCAATTTTTCTGATTTGGGGGATCTTTGTTTTCTTTCATTCCTACTCCTAGAATTTATATAAATTTAACTATTTCATAGCAATTTGAAAATAAGATATATTTTCAGCTTTTGGCTTTCAAAGCTTGATGTGTATTAATTAGTTTAAATTTGCTAATCATAGTGTGTTAATATGCTAATGCTTTTAATTCTTCTTTACTTGGCTGTCATAGATTAACTCATTTGTATTTCATTTATGTTTATATGCTATAAAATATACTCACCATAGTAGTATTTATAACTAATAGAAGTTTGTTTTATATATGTTGCTGGGATGTGATTTTCAATATAAACACTTATGACAGTCATACCTTTCACCATAAAATTGTCTTTTACTCCAAGGAGTGAATTTTGACTGTTCCCCCTCCATTTTCAATATATTAATATTGCTGCTTCTGCTTTTTTTTGCTCATATTTACCAACCTTTTTATATCATATTTACCAACCTTTGTTATATTTAACTTTAATCTTTGATGTCACTTTATTTTAATGTGCTCCCTGAAAACATCATGTCATTGGTTTTTAAAAAAATTGCAGTGTTTTGTTTTCAGTCAAGAATTTAACCATTTCATATTTTAAAGATAATTATTAGGCTTAATTTTGCTTCTCTTATCTAGCTTTATGCTTTCTGTTTCTAATTTTTTTGTCTTTTTCTTCATAAACATTTGTGACTGTTAATCCTGTATTGATTTGAAATGTAGGCATTCTTTCATTCCTTCTTAAAGTTTTTCAAAGACATTCTTAAAACATGAGAAACTGTCAAGTGGATTCATAGCCTACCCTTTTCTCTAGCTCTGAGTCCATGAATTAAGGTTTACTGTCCTTTGCTACAGCGTCCATTTCTGAGATGAGACAGACAGCAACAGTTTGGGTGATGGCATTGGTGCCTCTTTGAGTGTCTTCCAGTAGTGTCTGTGCTATACCTTAAGGAGATTCCCCCAAGATTCTACATATGAATCACACCTCTCTCTGATTTCCAGTACTGATTCTGGTCTCTCCCTGTTCTCCTCTATTTCATATTTCTTGTATTATTTCAGTAAGAATTTAGGAGGAGGCAATGAGCAGTCTGTATATAAACCTCCATCTTGCAGAAATTTGGTGTGCCATATTTAAAAGAGCTGCTTGGCCTGGATGGGACATGATGTTATGCCAAATAATGTGCAGTTTAAGAAAGGGAAGTGTTTTTTCTGGAAAAGAGAAAAACTAAGTGGAATGTGACAGCTGTCTTCAATACCCGCAGGGATGCCATGTGGTGTAAAGAATAGGCTGACTCTGCTTTGACTCATAGGCTGGTACCAGGACCAGGACCGAATTCAGCCTGCCCAGGCTGCTGGGAGGAGGATGCTGTCTTAAATGGGGAGGGGTGTTGAACTATTTAACTTCTTTGTTTTTTGAACAATTTTTTAATTGAAGTATAGTCGATTTACAATGTTGTGTTAATTTCTGGTGTACAGCATAGTGATTCATACATATATATATATATATATTCCTTTTCATATTCTTTTTCATTATAGGCTGTTACAAGATACTGAATATAGTTCAAACTATTTAATTTCTAAGTTTTTTTCAGCACTAATTTTCCTTTATTGTAAATAAGTTAGACAGTTTTGAAATGTGGGATATAAAACAGTTTTCTTCCCTTAATTTAGCATATATAAGAATTGAATGGGACACCTGTTAAAATAAACGTATCTGAGCCCAGAAATTTTGACTTCTTCAAGTTTGGAGTGGGACCTAGTAATCAGTATTTTCTGAGGTTAGTTTTGAGAATAATCTTTAGGTAAATTGAGTTTATAAAAATACTATTCTTTGGCATTTATGGTTTGGTCTTACAATGTATTTCATGCAACACATTCTTTATTAATAGTAGCCAATGCTTTAAAATATTATGAATATTATTTTATCATAATTCATTAGTTTGAGGAAGAGTAAAAGTAATTACTTTATAACATTTGCTAATATAATTAGGGTTTTGTAAATAAGTGGAAGATGGTACTTAAAGTGCTAGTAGTGAAGAAAACAGTTGAAGTCAACAGTTCTAAATAAAACTGTGTCAAGCTGGGTACTGGGGGCAGCAGATACCAAGGTGGAGTTTGAAATGAGAAATAAAAGGAAGACAGAGCAGGGAAAGGACATGAGAGTCTTCTTTCAGATTGAGATGTGGGTTGTTGCCTGTGAAGCTGACAGAGAGAAGGAGAGAGGGTGAGGGATGGAAAGCCTCAAAGAGACAGAGCTCGGAGAGAGTCTCAGCCAGCCCAATGGTCAGCTCCAATACAACGACTGACCCCAGGAGAGACCACTGCTGGCCCTTGGTACCCCACTGGTTCTCAGTCATTGACTGGGCACTTAGTGGGGAGAGTGTGGCCTGTGCTCCAGAGTGGCGGCAGATCTGAAGTGCTGTAGCTGGGACTGTCGGCCTCCTGGACTCCTAGCAGCAGACACTGCCTTGGAGGGAGATCTGAGCAGTACATGTTCATAGGGCCACAAATCCAGGCCACATTTTTTTCAACACTGGGGTGTGTGCACGCTCACTTGGAGGCATAATTTGACATTATCCATACTGATGTACTATGGACTCTTCTTTTATTGCTTCAAGTTACTTAGCTTCCGTTTCATCCTGGGTTATTTGGATATCACGTGTACAATATGAATGATTCTATTCAAGTCTAATTTTATTTAAAGTGATATAAAAATAAAATACTGCTTGTCAGGATGTGATAGTAAAAAATGCTCTGGAAAGATGTGGGATTTAAAAACTCAAGAGTCTTTCATGTTATTCCTCTAGTCTGGCGGCAAGAAGAACTTGCACGTATTAACCAATCTTTCACTGGAGCTGAAAGGAAAGCTGCTTTGTGTCAACTTCTGGAGAAAGAGACCCAGATAATTGCTTCCATTGGGAGACATAGATACATCGCTTATATGGCGAACCAGAAAGCACTAATACAAACTTTTTTGGATCAGGTTAGTGAAGTAACAATTACTTAAATATGAATGCATCCTGAGTTTAAAAATATAGAATAATGAACTGAAGAGACTTATATCATAAGAATTTGCATGAATTTTGTGTAGCATTTTGGTGATGTGTTTATTTAAATTTTGCATGTATTTTTTTTCTTATACAGCTTTAGATTTTCGCTGCAGCCTAGAATAACAATTGACCAGTAATATGGAATTAACATACTGTTAACAAAAGAGGTTTGTCCATGAAGGAAAAAGTGAAGACACCTTCCTTGTGACTCTGTTCATTTAGATTTAGGCTGGTTGTAGAAATTGGGTGAATTCCACACCCTGATAAAGTGTAGTCTTGAAGTCACAAAATACCTGGATCTGGGGTGCCCCAGAGTAAGCAACCTGGAGAAAATAGCACAGCCTAGTTAGTGTTTCTGCTTTTGCTCACCAGGTCCTTAGCTGACTGGAAATTTCTGACTAAAAAGATGTAAGATTATTGAAAACCATGAAAACATACAATTAAGGGAAAAACTAATTACCCTTTCGTGGTGATATTGCCTGTTTGATATGACTAGCTTGTTTCCATAGTGACCAATTTCCTTTTACGCACTTGATCTTTCCAAGCAATTAAAAGCCAATCCAGCCAGGAGAAGGAAAGGGATGGAGTTCTTTAAGATATTCACCTGTCGTGATTTTAGTTGTATGATGCTTGTTCTGTGAGAACATCTGTTCTTAAAAACTGTATTTTTGTGATCCTATAAATGCGCTCCTCTCATCTGACTTACACGCTCTCCTGTTTGATCTCAGTTTTTCTTGTGGCTTTACCCTGCATCCTGGGACTCCCTACGGTTCCAGCCAGACTTCTCTTGGGAGCTTCCAAATTATAGCTAATTGCCTACTATCACTGCTCTTTGGATGTCTCGAGAGTACACCTCCAGCTGACAGGTCAACCCCTAAGCCATATCATCTTACCATTCCTTGGCTCCTCACCTCTAAGCTTGTCCTCTTCCGTACCACTCACATAGTTTATCTCTATGAAGATTTCCTCATCTCCTCAGGTGCTTCAGGCAGAAACCTGGGCGCTATTCTTGATGTCCCGTTTAGCCGCCAGACTGTTCTATTACTTGAATAATCTCCTCTGTTCTTTACTTCTTCCTTTTCAAACCCACCACCACTGCCTACAGGGAAGTGGCTCTGCCGTGGCACCTTGATAACCTTGGCTGTATCCACACAGGCTGTGTCAGCAAAGACTTGAACCGCAGCTAATCTGAGTCTTGGCGGAACGCCTTGTGGTCCTGCTGGAGCACGACAGGATGAGAAGTATCCGAGGAGGAGTTATGCCTCAGCTCCCCTCTCTGGCTTTCCTGTGTCCCCTGGGAGGCCGTCATGGGACAGGTCTTATCTTGTGTGTGTGAGCTGGGCACTGATTGAATTGAATCTGGATTTCCTTCCCATCTGGATTATTTTATGTCTCTGAATTAGGCTGTTGACCTCCAGTCTCACTTCTCAGTTCCCTCCTCCATCACCCATCCTGCAGCTAAAGTGATCCCATTAAACACGCTCTGCCCCTAGCCGCCTCGCCGCCCTCAGGGAATGAAAATTTCTGTAATGGACTCTTGGCGCACCTCACCCGTTCCACTGTTGTCTCACCGTCATCTCTCCTCGCACAGGACAGCCACACTGTTCCAGCGATGCTCAGTTCCTTGCGTGTCTCAGGAGGGCCACGTGCACTCAGTGCTTTTACATCTGCTGTGCCCTCTACCGGAACATCCTTTCCTTCCTCAGTAGCCAGCCACCCCCGCTCAAAACAAGCACAGGTGCCCCTTCTGGGAAGCACTGCTGATCCTCCTGCTTTAGCCTGTACCGTATGCTTTCCTAAGACTCTGTCACTTCTGTCTTTGTACCCAGTGATCAGTTTTTATTACAGCTATTTATGTTTATATTTATGTCCTTCCTAGATTCTGAGCTTCTTACGGCAAGAGCTATCTTTTATTTCTGTATCCTCATATCCTAGCACAGTGCTTAACACAGAGTATCAATACATGCTTGTGGAGGAAGGTAGAGAGGAAAAACAAGGGATAGGAATAATGGTTGGGTAATTTTATCTTTCAGGTGTTATCAAGAAATTATGCAACATAGATAAAGTCATTTCAAATTCTTGAATATCTTCGTTCTAGGAAAGATGAGTACTACTATAAGGAAGCCGTAATAGTCAACTTCTGCAGGGTGATTCTTTAAACTAAACGTATTCCTTTAGCAAGTTGCTTTATCTTGAATCCAGCTTCCTCACTGGACACTGTGTTCCTTATGTGTCTGATTGTTAATCTTACCAACCAGCGTGGACCAGGCGGCACAAGAGTGTCTGGAGGAGCTAGAGGCCTCTGAGGTGCTAATGGACAGGGAAGATGGGTGGCACCTGCCTTCCTTACTTAAGGCTGGACCTTCTGCAGGGTTTCCTACTTGTTCTTGATCTGCCGCTCTGTTCCCTATAAACTACTTTAAATTCTTGTCGCAAATATTTATACAATGTCTATTCTTCATTATGCTTTTACACCCCCGACTTCTGGTCTCATATCTAGCATTGTCTCTAAACATTTTTTGAATCATAGTGAGGCCAAAGATAGATCAAGTCCTGCCATATAAAGTGACTCTGGGGCCAGCTGATGACCATTGCCCCCTGTCATGGAGCAGAGCACTCTAAGAAGTTCCTTAAATCTCACCAGATAAGGAGATGGGGAAATTTTGTTCACAAGAATTCCTAGGAGGGAGGAAGATTTGTTTTTGTTTTCTGGGGTTTTTTTTTTGGAGGTGGGGTAATAATTTGATAAATTTTGAGGTAGAATCTGAGACCCAGAAGGGTCCTGAGTATAGGAAGAATTGCTCTATGCCAGGAAAATGGAAGTTTTTGAGTATTTCTAGGAGAGAGGGAGGGAGGAAACAGTTGGAAGGCAACGAGGCGCAGTGTGGCTTCTTTAATTGTATTACTAAATAAATGAAGTATTAAGTGTAAGAAGATTCGTTCTGGTCAGAGGAGAGGGAACAAGAGCAGTGACTGGACCTTAATGTCCAGATTGATGCAGAGCAGCACACAAAGATGCAAGACCAGAAGGTTGAAGGAAGGATGGACGAGCTGGCCACAAGAACTTGTGGGTTCACAAGAAATCAAGGGAAGGCTTTGTGTGGGCCATACGTTTTCGACTTGGGGTTCTGAACCCTTGTTCACCCCAGCTGATAAACCAGTTAATCTCACCAATGCCCAGGCTAAGATTTAGAGGAAATGGACACTTTGGCTAATATGAGGAAATTTTAAATCAGTTTGGACCAAAGTGTTATACAGGGCAAGAAAAACACCACCACAGACTGGGACAACTGCACTTGACATCAATCCCAGCCCATTGCATAGTCTCATTAGTCCAGTCTTTAAAAATACTGGCTAACAGTGACTTTTGTGCTGCTTCTAACCTGTTACAGTAAACTTTAAAATCTTTGTTATTCTAATACATAATCATTTTAATCACCTTTCTGTATATAATGCCATACTAAATATCATAGAAAACAATTAAGATAGACTTTGTAGTTAGTCTTCTGTTGTAAATACTTATCAAGGTCTGTTCCTTTTTATGCCTGTCTCCTCCTCCCCTCACCGTGCCTTGCATTGCCTCCAGTATTCAGGAGTCAGTGTTGATTTCATGAAACTTGGAGTAACTTATTCTACAGTTTTTTTTTATTACTGGGGAAAAATAGCTTGTAATTAATCCCTGAGGCTAAATAAAGCCAGAGTTTTTTTTCAAATGTTAACACTAACAACCAGAACCATGATGCAGATTTTAAGATCCACATTTAGGACCAGAACATGTAGGTATGTAAAGAGAATATTTACTTCCCTGTAATTGGGAAATAACTTTGGAGAATGAAATTTTATGGTTTGGTTTTAGTTTAACTTCATTTTATCTAACTATTATGTCATGTATTGAACTAATATTTTATTTTTTATCTTCTCATCCTGAATATAGAATTTCTCTGAGTAATGAATCATATTATTTTAAGTTAGTCCAATCAAGGCACTGAACTAATCAGTTGTTATGAATTTGGTATTAAGCCTTCATTCTCCTTCAAAGTCTTAATCTAAAGATTTTTGAAGCATTAATTAAATAATTTTCAAATTAATCCATCAAACATGGTCATCCACAGGTTGTCAAATGTTAAAACCTCACAAGTAGACAAAGGTGAAGAAATTCAGGTCAAGAAATTTGAATGAAAAATCATCAGCCAGTTTCTAATATAGCCTGGGTGCTCCTTGCCCAAACTGTGTAAGGAGACCATTTGAATTTCTGCAAGAGGTTTCCCCTAGAGTCAAGGCCATTTATTTCCTTGAGTCTCTTTGATTCGCCCACCACTTGTCACAATCACAGGCTAAAAAACTGCAATCTGCCTTAGCTGTGTCTGTTAATTTTTTTTCTCCTTACTCAGGTGGCCAACAGCTAATGGGATAGAAAAATGCAACCAGCTCTGGGGCTCTCTGAGCACCACAGTACACAGGCGCGTGCTCTGTGGACAAACAAAGCCCCTTTGCTGGGCAAAAGAAAAGTTGATCAGTACCCAGCAGCTTTGGAGGGGTTATGTGGTTCTTAATTTGCGCCTTTAGGGACTAGAGCATTAATTTAGGAGAAAGAAAAGGCCTCCTCTTACAGCACAGTCACTTCTTCTCTTTCATGGAGGCTTGCCGCTCTCAAGGTTTTTGTTGTCTCTCCACCTTCCCTTCCCTGAAATGTGTCTTCCTGCTGCTCTTCTGTTTCTCTCCTCCAGAGTCTATGCTGTCTCATTTGTTGGCAGCTAAATGGAATTTATTATGCTCCTGCTTTCTGAAGCAGTTTGAAGAACATGATTGTTGTACATCTCTTATTACAGCCAAAACATTCAAAGAAAAAAAGGAATAGAGAAGAGAAATAAGCAAAGTTGACATTTTCCTGCATCAGAGTTTAAAAAAAAAAACAAATAACCCACCTTAAGGCCTGAAATCATAGAAGCTTAGACTTGAAGACCAAGTTATTAGTGTTGGCAGAAATAAATCCAAGTATAAAAACTGCTTTGCCAAACAGATTTTTTCTATCTTTTCAGGGCTTACGCTAGGGAATTCAGACTTCAAATCTAGGAATCTTTGATTATATCACTCAGTTTCTTTAATCTTTACTCCTGGTTAGTCTTCAGGTTTTAGCTTATGTACTGTTTTCGTTTCACCAGTTAAATCCTTCATAGCAACCTTTAGTTACCTCTTTACCGGCACCATCAAGCACAATCACCCTTTATTTTAATTACTTTTTAAAAAATCTTTCCATCCCATTAGACTTAAGAATTTTTGAAATCAGGATAGTATTTTATCTAGCACACTGACCAATATATAATAAACACAATAAATATTTGTTGATTGAATAAATACAGAACTACATGAGAAATTGATCTTATCTTTTGGGAGAAATAGAATTAACAAACATAATAATAAATATATACGTAACAATTTGTATCCAAGTTGCATTTCCCTGAGTGATTGAAATAGAAATACTATATACTTTGTGTGTGTGCATGTGTTTGTTTTTACAAGTAAAATAGGACTTCAGATAATAGTGATTTCAGTGATTCGAAACCATAGTGTTAGGAATCTTTATGGAGAAGGTAGGATATAAGTTAAAAACTGAGGAGTGGGAAGGATATGAATGTTGAGTATATTTAGAAAAAAATCCAAGGTATGACTATATCCTCGTATCTTAGATGGGGCTAAAAACATGGAAGGAAGGTAGAATTAAATCAATACAACAGATGAAAAACACAATCAAGTAGATGAAGTAAGCATTTCATTAAAAGGCTTTTATACTTAGATTATTACAAATGAAATAGTTTACCAGCTTGCAGAGCTAAAGGTATTGTCCACGTTACTGGAAGAAGGGAAATTACACTTAATAGAGCCACCCTCAGGACGACTGCATACAAAGATTGCCCTTAAACTTTAGAATATTGCAAAATGAAACAGCCTAAGATTGCTTATTCCTTAAAACTTTTAAAAAGAGCTTAGCAACAAACATTTGATTACAGTAACACTCTGAGGCCTACCACAGACAAAGCTGTATCCATTCAAAAACAATATGTTTTAAAAATTTCTAAGTGATAATTAAATGATAAAATATTTTCTTACTATTTCCCTTCTATAATCCTTAATAAATTTTATTAGTTCTGTCAGTCTGCTAGTGAACTCTACATTATTTAATATTAGATTTATGCTCTGAAAATATAAATTAATCATAGGGCCGCAGCTTCTCATTTGCTGGATTGAAACTAGACCTTGAGGATCTAAAGTTTCTGATGAAGATTCCTGGCTCTGCACAGCGTTCATTTTAGCTTTGATCAGAAAATGATGCCATTACTTTGAACACATATCATGTATAGTTGTTGCTAAATGGTAGCTTTCCAGTTTTCAATATAATTTAGCTAATATGAAATGTAAAAATTTAAAGGTAAATTGAGACTAAACGTTTCTCATAAGGCTGTCATACTAAATGCAGCCTTATTTCTCTGTTTGGCTACTCTAACTCCTGATGATTTGTTCCAATACATCGGCTTCTATTTAAACTTTAATTATATCAAATCTAAGATTTAAATGGTTACAACTATGTGGCGATTATAAACTGGACTGCAGGTCTCCAAAGCAATTACCAATCAGCCTACAAAAAATACAGCATTTGGTCGTGAGCAACGTA